GTTTAGAAATCATGTAATTTCAAGGGTATAAGGCCTGCAATACACAAACAGATATTAGGTTGCTAATAAGCTTAATAAATTTGAACTAAATAATATGGTCTTGAATCAATTTAAAGTTAGATGGAAAAGGCCGAATCCATACTTGTGTTGTTAAATTACCTGCAACTAGAGTTTACACGAATTAATTATTTCTGCGACCATTCAATTGTCAAAAGTAAATGGCAATCCATAAAGCTGTTAGTCTTCTTTTTGTTTTACTTTCCCTTTACCAATAAACACAATAACACAATAACTCGCACAAATATATACGATCTATCCCATATATACGACTATTTGGTTTGAATAGACGATGGATTGTGCAAGCCAGAAAGAAGGCTGTGAGTGGGCTCTTTTCCCTTTTAAAAACATGTGTACTAAAATATATGAAACTAGCGGCTCACCTTCTGGCTTCGCTTCTAGAAAAACAAAAACAAATCAATTCCACGGGAACTGTACATCGTCCGGAACAAAAAGTAGTATATGTGTTATTCTGACGTATGGGCTATATTATTGTAAAGTTTTATTAAAGTCCATTCATTAGCTTTTGTTTGAAAGAGGAATAAACATCCATACATCTATATTCTATACATACAGACATCCATACATCCAAACAAACTTTCGCATTTATAATATTAGTAGGATATACTCGTACCTAAATGCAAAATAATCCAATCATGCCTTCAGATACCGAGATAAACAATACATTAAATGCATAGTTTTTGATATGATAGAAATTTCATTTAACAAATCATTGTTATTTTAGTTTTATTTCCTTAGGTTATTTTCATTAGAATATAATAAAGATTTAGATAATAGAGTTATAGATTTTAGAATCTTTTTTCCCTGTTATTAATTTTACAAAACGATACGTAACGCATATATAGGTATATAACGATCTATACCTAGTAAAAATTTAAAATATTTTTTTCTTTCCGTCGAGACACTGATATTACTTTAAGTTTTTCTCATGGGTAATTTAAAATTTTCTTACTCAATGTTTTACGGTTACATCCTTAATAATCCATAAAAATTAACAACTATTTAAGAATTTCCTTTTTTTGTTTGTCTTAATGTTATATTATGCTTTTATATGTTAGTTAAACACAAAATCTAGTTAATTTACATTCACTCTATATGACCGTATATCGTAAAAATACGTCATACGCCGATAAGCTATCTGCCATCAAGATAAATAGATAATGTAAATGTCGTTATCATAGTTAGGAAATGTGAAAATAATTGTAAAAACATGACCACTGTGTAATGTTAATTTATAAAAAATCTAAATACTCTATCTATCTATCTAAAATACTTTTATCCCGGAAATCACCCCTTTAGGGCGTGAAAATGGGGATGAAAATTTGTATTTGGAAGCACGCTAGGGACGAATACGAGCGATGCAAGGGTGAGACGCTAGTATTATAAACATTCATATACTAAATTTGATTGTGATAGTGACTTAAATTTAGCGCCGAAAACGTGTGAGTCGATTGTTAATATAAGTTAATGAATAGTCTAACACGTTATCAAATATAACATACTGACCCTTGAGGGCGACTTTTGCCTACACCTAAAAGAAACGCGTACCTAACTTGACAAGCTTTCCACTGCAACTGCACTCACGTAATTTATTTATGTATAATTGATCCACTCTAAAGCGTTGTAGCTTGCGTTGCTCAATAAATATGCTATAGAGTGCCATCAGAATTTTTGAATGTAGACTGGTAGCTCCAAACGCTATCGCATTCATCATCTCTATAATATTAATTGGTATTCATATATTATTCAGTAAGGACTATAGGAAATCTATCTAAGAACCTAACTAATTTTATGTTATCCACCGCTGAGTCTAAAAGGTGAATTTTTGCACAAGGGTTAAAATCTATCCCATATAAAGGTTAAATAGGGAATGAAATTTCGTATGGAAAATCTTAATGTTTGAAAAATTAATGCTTATACTTCCATTTATATGAACCTCATCGCGCTCCTAGACTAAATTCCTCAATTGTAACACAAAATATATAAGGAATATGACGTATATCGGTGATTTTGAGCTTGAGCGTGTGTATTGTATTGTTTGAAACTTACCTTACGACTAGACTGTCAAAATCTGTACACTATAATGAATAAATATATTATTATTTTTTATATTTTGTAACCATGAGGACTTATATGAATGTGTATTACTTATAACCTTAGCCGTTACATACGCGTTGAGCTCAGGGGACGCATGTTGATGAGTCGACCTCGATATTCCGTTTAATAGACGACTTCCCTTTTACCAATTGTAATACTAATGTCGTATCAAACTTGTAGCTTTATATACATGCTTGTTAGTAATTGGGGGGTTATTGACACAAACATACATATTGAATGAAAATGAGGTGTTAGGTTTTTTTTGATTATTGATAGGTATTATAAATTAATTCTAGACAAGCCGTTTAAGCACATTTTATTTTGCCATCGTCACATAAAATAAGGAACAATAATAATTATTCGTTGAAACAAGATTGACTAACAATAAATAAAGCAATGCCAAAAAATCTAGAAATATTTATTTCCTATAGAATTACAAATTTCCCATAAAATAGTATACTACACAATACTTTCAAAAATTTACGCGAATTTTTGAACAAAACAATCTTTTCGGATGTTTTCGGGATATATTTTGATTTTTGGTTCCCGACGTTTTGAATGCTTTATAGCAATCATGGTCACGGGAGAGACTACGCATGTTACTTTATAGCTTCTTGTAGAGCTTTTATTATCACATACAAGTAATACTTCTACTAGGAACTTCATTCCACAAACATATGGATATTAAAGTGCTCTGTCGGTGAATGACACGCTTCTGAGAAATAGTGAAGGGTGCGTTTAAATCAAATCATGTGTGTACCGGGAAGAGACGAGATAAGAATAATGATACGAGGATTAGCTGTTGTTCTTAGTTATGTTTGTATGAAAATAATACTTTCTTAGCTCTACGAATATTTGGGATTAAAAAAAAACTATCCTTTCGGTTTTTTTCGAAAAAATCGGAAATGTCAAAATTTTATTATTAAATATGAAAATTTTATTAATATAATTTCATATACCTAATTATATTATGTAAGCACTAAGTTTTAGGCATTCTTTATCTTTTTAAATCTCCGATGCAGATATTGTTTAAATACTCTAACACTAACTATTCTAACATTTACAAGTAAACACGTTAGTTTCGTAGCATAAGATGCATTCACTTTCATTTCTTACGCAGTTGCGTAAACGATAAACATCTATGACAGTTGTAAAAACGTAATACTCAAAAAATGACGCAGTTATTTATAGATACTTCTTATTTGTTGGGATCTTATGTAGTAGCTAAATTATTGATTCATTAATCGATCCTTAATCAATGAGTATGTCATCGATGTTTATTGATAAAAAAAATCACTTATAATAAATTACACCATAAAAAAAAGACTTAAATATAAAGCCGTCGTCGTAGCCGATTTATAAAAATATTTTTACAATCTACAATATTAACCAAATACTAGAACGATTTAGAAGTTTTAGAACAAAGCTGACTATATTACAATGTTAATTTTCCTTGGATGGAAAGAAATAAAATCGATGGTCTTTGATCACGCCACTAACTTTATAGGGTTACGAAAAGAAGAATTTCTATACTTCCTTCCTTTGTGTATTTGTTATTGAACAGTGACAATGAACTATTAAACATTTACAAGATTCTAATAGTTAATAATATATTTTATATGTTGTTGTTAATATTGATAAAATAATTTAAATAAAAGGTTTATATAACAAGTGTTATCATTTCCATATAATATTTTTCAATGTTCGTTTCCCAGAGAGTCAACTCACTTAATCTATACTAATATTATAAAGAGGCAGAGTTTGTTTGTTTGAACGCGATAATCTCAGGAAATACTAAATTTGAAAAAAATGTTTTTCCATTAGATAATCCGTTTATTGAGAAAGGCTTATAGGCTATATATCATAATGCTAAGTTACTCAAGGGATCGGAGCAGTAATCATAAATGTCAACAAATCAACACGATTAATATACATATTAAATACACGATAATTTAATCAAAATATAGTGTAATTTAAAAATGGCATGCTTCCCTAAAAAAGAAAAAAAATCATCCCCTATTATTCCATGTAGGGATGAATGTGATTAGACTGTACGTTGTGTGTCAGTGAGCGAATGAATGAATGAAATTTAAAATCAACCGGCTTTAAACACCTTTCTTTTGGAAAACTACGTTAGAAAATGCTGCATTTTCAATGCATTCTTGTAGATTTAGTAGTTTTCTAATAGAGTGTTCCATCTATTGATTACGACATGTACATATTAAAACCCCAGTCTTCTCACGGTGCTTTCTATTAAACAAAAACAAGTCGTAAGAAACAATTAACTTGTTTCTGTGCTACGGTGACATTTTAAGTGCTTAAGATGATTCCGGTTTTGTTTGTTTTGTTAGAATAGAAAATGTTTTGTAACGCTATGAGTAATGACAAGTGACAGTCAAATGTTGGGTTCAAATGGAGATAGTAGTTCAAAAGTAAAAGTTAATTTAAAGGAAAATTTTTACTGTGTTTGTAGCACTTTTAATAAAATAGAGAAAAAATGTGAGTGCTAAGTGTAATGTGTACCTATATATTTATTAGATTACAAATTAAACTCTTTACAAAAACCCTTCAAAATTTTAAATAGAATTCTCATTTTGGGAGAGACTCCCGTAACTATTTACTGTAACGCATTTATGGGGAACCAAAAATCAAAATAAATCTAAAAAAAAACAAAAAAGATAGTTTTATTTAAAATTTTATATATTCGTGTAAATCTAAGAAGGTATTAGTTATTCATCAAGAAGATATTAATATAAAAATGATTGTATTAGAATTTACAACCAAGTGGAATGAAATATAATATAATACATGTATGATTGTTTCAGAATTCGAGCGGCAGCGAGCCTCGGTCGCGTAGCGCGACCCCTGATTCTTTGGACTCGTTGCCGAGCGGTGGTTCCGGCAGCCCTACCACAGAGTGGGCAGATAATGCAACACCACCTGACTTTGTGTAAGTTCTACCATAAAATAGCCTACAGTAAAATTGTACTACGTACTTAAGGTTTTGATAGTTAACTTGAATAATCAAGTCTATTTGATATAGGTATAGCAAGCAACAGAATAACTTATGTCGTCATTATCACTCTTAATTCAAAAATCACATTAAACTTTTCCTGCTTGTATTAAGAAAAACTAATACCATAGTTTCAAAATCCAGACAGAAGACGATCCGCTATTGATTTTAACAGAAATCCAAGTGATTGATTTGTGTGATGAGCACAAATGTTTGTATTCCTATCATGGGTCATATTTATAATATATAAATGTATTTAAAATTATAATTGTGTAGTGTATCAACTATCCATAACCATAGGCCTCGTAGCTTACCATGGAACTTGATGGTGCTGTGTGTTAATGTCCCAACATATTTATTATTTATTTATTTTCATTCCAGTGACAACTACCCCCCAGTTGGTACGCACGCGCCTATCGCTCGCACTCCCTCAGCGCCCGCGTCCCGACGCGTGCGTCTTTCCCCGCCCGGCCCCCACTCTCCCCCACGACCTGTACACGAACTTTTCAAGCCAAACGATTTACACTGGGCTGATATTGCCACTAACACCGGTAAGATATTATCCTAGTTAAAAGTAGAAATAAGAAAATAAAAAATAAAACGTGTATGTGTAATTATGTACGCACATATGAAGTTATACTTCTTTAGCGTAACACAACAAAAATAGCTAAAGATTTCATCCCGTATGTCACAACTCTCTGTTTGTAAAAGGAATGCTGCTAACTTCATGTCGCTTTCAGCTAACTTCATCATGTCGCTTTTTGGCTGTCGGTGTGCGCACGCATCGTAAAAATTTTACTGTCATATTTTTTTCTAAACGTGCCGAAATAAGTATAACTTCAAAAAACAAATTCTTTAACTACAAAAGTTAGCTGTTTGTTGTTTTAATAAGTGTTAAAAACATATCATACGATACCAAAGCTTTTTATTTTCTTGCAGAAGGTATCGAGCTTCTAGGTTACCAGAGATATGGGACAGTCCAGGGACCGCGAATAGGGAAAGAACGCATCAATGGATCAATTTTAAAAGAAAACGACCCTTTCATGTAAGTTGAGAATATAATATATTATATAATCCAAAAAAGAGTATAATTAAGACTGCAAAGTTAAGTTTAACGTAATAATATTCTACCCTTATGAGTGAACTATTTTTTGACATTAATTTGGAAATACCCCTATACGGGTTGTAATAGACGCATATACATATTATGTGATGTATATGTGTGTATATAGCGTAACACAAAACTAGGAATGTTCTTGCAAATTCGACATTTAAAATTTTAAAATTGTATATTCGTTCATTGAATAAATTATTATTACAGTACTTTACTATGGTATAGGAGAAAAAATCACTTATAGAAACAATACTTGAATGTTTTAAATAATTTCGACACATAAAATAATAAAATTTGTAAAACAAAGAATATCAAATGAATAATAAAATGTGTATTTACAGGAAACATGCGCCGGTTTCTCGAACAAAAAGCGTAACGTCTGCGCAACCGCTCAGCTTCGAACATAAGTTTAACTTGGATCGACAAATGCTGGATCATGAAGAGGTGAGTTTTAACTACATAGAAATAAAAAAAATAACCTGTATATAGAAAAAAGCAAAAAGCCAAATTACAATACTAACATTTTTGACTATTTTCGTATAAATACCGACTCGCACTTGGCCACTTTTTTCTGAATTCATCGAGATAAAATAAAATTCATATTATTAAATATAATATATTATGTACTATGCTATTATATTGTTAAAATTATAATTGTATAGTTATCTCTTTTGGCTTGGTTTTTACCTGAAACCCTGCGAGTGCGAAATTTAGTATACAAAATTTTTCTCCATTACTTATGTATATTCTATCGTACTAATATTATAAAGAGGAAAGATTTTTTTGTTTGCTTGTACCGAATAAGTTTCGAAACTACTGAACCGATTTATATGAAATTTGGTAAGAAGATATTTTGAGACCCTGGGAACATAGTTTTTATACCGGAAATCATTCCTTAAGGGAGAAAATGGGGATGAAAGTTTGTATAGGGAAGCAACCTAGGGACGAACCCGAGCGAAGCGAGGATGAATCACTATTTGTACATAACATAGTAATACGAGTATATAGCTTTGTGTTGAAACCGTTTCTTCCATATCAAAAATATAATAAAAACTCATAATACACTTATTTATTATAATGAGATTATAAGTGTAAATCTGGATACATATTTTGTGTTCGTTTCGATTATAAATCGACATTTGCGGTCTACAATAGATTTTCTTGCAAAAATATTAGCAACACCTTCCGTTTACATGTAATGCTCTGAGTGAATTGCGGTAAGCGATGATGTAATCTCCTGTTGCATACATTATAAATGTTAAAAAAAAGTCGTACGTTATCTTAATCTGTCAAACATTTTGAAATTTATCTATTTTACTTGCATCTTACATATATGTATATACAGACAAATAAAATAAACTGCTGATAATTTTTTTTTCTTAATTCGTTAACATTGTGTGGCGTTTTATGCTACGTAACTATCTATGAGAAGTCAGAATCGCACTTGGAATCCGGTTCCGGGGATCCGGGGAAATTCATATATCGATAAATTCCAAAAAAATATACTTGAGTAGGTATATATCGGCCAAATGAAAAAAAAAACTGGCATTTTTCCACTTGTGAGTGGAATATAATATTGTTGTATTCAGCCCTTTTCTACTTCCCACTGCTGTGTACGAGCCTCCCTAAACACCTAAACACGAGGCTGATCCGGCCATCGTCCACCACGCTGGCCAAGTGCGGGTTGGCGGGTTATTGTATTACTATAATTATAATATTATTTCCATGGTAAAGGAGTGGCCGGAGCCTGACAGTACAGTGGATATCGAAACAGTGGGGGAACCACAGTTGAAGAAGCTGCAGCCGTTACTCTGGCTGGAGCTGACCGCACTCTTTGACAGATACTCGTTGCCTTTCCACAAACGGAAACCGCCTAAGAAGAAGCGGAAAGAAGGTAATAAATATCATTTAAATGTGTAAAATTCATAAAAATATGTACATATATATCAATTCAGATTCAGAGTGTTTTATAAAACTAAGTGTGTTGTTAGATTTTTGGAATTTGTTGGAAATCGAACCCAACATTTCGAACGCTTTACAAAAATCATGGTCACGGTGGAGACTGATGACATGATTGCTGTAAAGCTGTATTGCTGTTTCGAATAAACATCGGGAACTAAAAATCAAAATAAATCCGCGAAATACTCCGAAATGATCGTTTTATTATATCAAATATTCGCCTAAATCAATGAAATATTAACCGAACCTAATTTTAAAAACATTCCACATGTATTATGTAGAGAAAGAAGTGAGCTTGATGGCTGCAAACTTAAAGTTAAAACTTTTATCTCTTATTCCATCTTTAACTATAGGTAGTCAATTATCAAGATTAAAATCAATTTTGTTTGAAAACTCCCATAAAATCCATTCAATATGAAAGCGATGTGGATACTGAAAAATTGGCTATCATTATCAATACGCATATTTTTTTAGAAGGTGCAGTATTCGGTGTGGCATTGGAGACACTGCTCCGTAAGGATATGATCCTGTGGGAAGAGACCTGGAGCTCGGTGCCTTCTATCCTTAGGGCACTGTCTTCAGCTCTTCGATCGAGAACAAAGGATGAAGGCCTTTTACGTGTTCCCGGGAATAAGCATAAGGTAAATAAATGAAATAAGAAGGTTTTTGATTTCTTTAGTGCTTTTACTAAAACAAAGTCAAGCCAATTTGGTTAATTGAATGTGGAATGTTAAAAATAATATGAACTTATATTTAAAAATAATTAAACGTGTTTCACTCATTCAGATCGAGGCCCTCTGCCAGCTGATCGAGCGGCAGTGGTACTCGGAGCGCGGCGGCGTGGAGGCGGCGCTGCGGCGCGCCACCGGCCACGACCTGGCCGCCGTGTTCAAGCGGCTGCTGCGCGCGCTGCCGCAGCCGCCGCTCACGCAGGAGCTCATGCGGCTCTTCTATCATACTTATTGTAAGTCATTGATTTTTATGGTTCAGTGCATACACACATTTAACTTTATAAAAAAAGATATTAAAATAATATTAATCCCGCTGAGTTTCCTTCGCCTGGTACTGGTAGTAAACTCATTACGTTCAGTAAAAAAATGTATTAATTTATTGCTGAATAAAATATTTTGATTTTGTATTTGACATGTCACATACATATAATAACTATGTATTTTATATAGAGTACAGTCATTATTTTACGCTATATCCCTAAGTCAGAGAAATTAGACTAACAAGCGCTAGTTTATATGTCAAAGTAGTGAGCCAAACGTGTCGTCAAAACAAATAAAAAAACAATGTTTCCCTTCCCAGCTTTGACCGGCGCGTCGCAGGGGCGGGCACTGAACCTGCTGGTGCTGCTGCTGCCGGCGGAGCAGCGCGCCACGCTGCGCGAGCTGCTGCGGCTGGTCCGCGAGATAGTCTCCATGAGCGACACCAACAAGATGTCCGAGCACAACGTGGCCATGATCATCGCGCCCACACTCTTCCCGCCCAGGTATATGTCGTTATCTATACATATTACACAATTCTGAATTGAATCTGTACATTGAATATTATTTGGAATATCTTATTGAAATTGTCATTATAATTATCGATGCAGAGGCCGAATCTATAGTATTTAGAATTGGGAACTTATCGAATAAAAACTTGATTTTGATGGTTATTTATAAGTAGTTTATTTCGTTTATCTTGGAAACGGCTCTACCGATTTGGATCAAATTTTGTGTGTCCAGGCATGCAATCTTAACACAAATAAAAAATTCTACCTTCAAAATTAGCAGTAGAGGTTAAATATAACAATGTGTACATTGCCGAAGCATTCTATTTATTTACGATATTTTTTTAATTTCAGTTATATCAAACTATAACGTTGTCTTATATCATTTCAGTCTTTTACTCAAGCAATCTGACAGCCTCGAGACCCAGCTGGCGACCGCTGCGAACAGCTGTCACGTGACCGAAGCCCTCATGCGCTGGTGTGAACAGCTCTGGATGGTGCCTCCCTCCCTCCTCGCTGCCTCCCAGAGGAAGCCTCCACCACACCGGAGGGCCCACCACACTTGAGTTCCAACATGACTGGTCAGCGGACCAAGTGTTTTGGCTTTAGATCTATTATAACCAGTGTTCTAGGATCGTTCATTATATAAGATATGATTAAAGGTATCTGGAACTGCTGGTACTGGTTTATGAGATTTTGGGGACTCAATAATTATTATTCCCTTACAATTGTCAGGTTCGAATCCGGTCTCGAGCAATATTTCGATAAGTCGAAAATTTATGCGAAATGTTATATTAAGTTATCAAATCCTCAATGTACCCTGATGGGAAACCCTCGTCTAAAGCCAGTGAATGATATAAACTCTTTTTTCCCAATCCGAAGTGAAGTCTCGAACTTCAAGTATTATAAGATCGAGTCAAGTGGTGCTGTGTTATTCCTGAACAATATTGAGTGATACTTATATTTAGTACTTTGTGTTAATTGAATTTAATACATTTAGTATGAAATTGTGAATGAGATGCCAAATATATGTACTTCTCTGTATAATCATTAGCAGTAATTTTATTCCAGTTTTTTTGAGGCTGTATTATTATTCTATTCTGTTTGGTTTGATTCAGGGCTCGGAAATCCGTTCAATTTTTAAACCGGTTTTGGTCATTACCCCAAACCGAAAAGCTTTTCGGTTTGAGGTTTCGGTTACGTTCTTTATAACTGGTTAAATCCGGGTTTTTGACGAATTTAGCTTAATGGCTTAGTAGGATACATGCACGTTTCTTATTCTTTTTCTTTCTCTTTCGGTATCAAATCTGAAATCCAACCTTTCTCTAAGAATTACCGTTAACCGTTATAAGTTCGGTTTACTAAACCATTAGTTTTCATTAACCGGTTAAAGAACGAGCAATGAATTAACCAATACATTACCAAAATAAACTGTTTTTTTTAAATTGGTTCCGAGCCCTAGTTTGATTAAGTGCTTGTGATACTTTTTATGAGTTTGATAGTTACAATTTATTATAATGATAACAATGTATGTAATTATTATGGAAAATAATAATTAATCTTCCATATTATTAAAAAGATCTAAAATGAAGTATTGAGTTAGCTAGGTCTATTATTAATGCCAATAATTATGTATAGTTTTTTTAAGTTTCAAATATATAAAATGTATGAGTCATACATATAAAAGATTGTATTATTTTAGTAATAATTCAGAAGCAAGCATGTAATGTATCTAAAAATAAAAGTATCACAGTGTTTAACCATATTATTTAAGATGTCAAACTTAGGTGTGGTGCCATTGGTTTGGTTTAGTTACCATTTGGCAAATATGGTTGTAGAATGGTGCCGTATAACATGATATTTACTTAAGTTCTCACATTATTCTTTATTTAATATGTAAATAAAATTCGTCAAATTACCAATTGACTAGGCAAGCAAAGACTGACTTGTATTATCTGTGTAATGTATGTTATATTTAAGTGTATTTACTTCACAAATAAAATATTATGTTATTCTAATCGTTTATTTTTATTTAGAAAAATAAGTATACCACAGAATTACTTCAGTTCGCCAACAACAAGTAATGTTGCATTATAGCTATTTATATTAATAAATTTATAATTAATTGCTACAATTTATTTTGTCAAAGCCACCTTATTATATTTGTAAATATTTTTTTGATAAGACTTTAATTATATTTGCCACTTCTCTATCTTTATTTTTTAAGAGATGTGGTGCAATATTATAAAAGTACTTTTCTGTTTCCAATAATACAATAACCAATAGCTAGTGCTATGTAGTTTTAGTAAATTAATAGCAAAAATATTCAATTAAATTTCTCTCCATTTTATTATGGTGAAGGAAAACATCGTGAGGAAACCTGCTGTTTGAAAGAATCTAACAAGTTTTCGTAAGACATGAGAAGTCCATTAACCCACACTTGGCCAGCATGGTGGACTATGGCCTGACCCTCCTCGTATTGAATGGAGGCCCAGCAGTAAGTCGTTAAAAAGGGCAAAATACATTCTAAAAGACAACAGTGTATGCTTGTATATATTTTATAACAATCATATCCTATCAAACATTTCAAACTCATTAGGAATGCATAAATTAAAAGTTAATATTTTAAATTTTTAATTAAATATATAGCTTCATTATCTCCTCCACATAGTATTCTGCCTCTGTCGCAATGTAGGGTGTTAATGGCTTTATGCAATGTTGGCATAAGCGAATTCACATTCATAGCAGTTTTATCTTCTAACGGAACATAATCGTCTGGCCCCTTTTTAGTTAATGTCTCCATATTCCAATCCCAAACTTCCCCAGACACAGAACTTGTTAGTAATTTATTTGGATTTTCTGGATGAAATTGCATTTCTGTAACACCAGCGGAGTGAGCGTTTAAAAGTGAAGTCGGAAATTGGTTCATTCTCAAATCCCATACAGCTAGTGCTCCAGATTCACTTCCAGCGAGTATTATGTGTGGTTGTGTTGGATGTTTCTCAATACATGTGGCGGCTAAATCATCTCCAGAAAGTAAAAATGCTGCAGCTGGTTTGTTGTTTGAAGATCTAATGTCCCAGATTTTCATGTGTCCTCTAATATTTCCTGTTATAACCTTGACAAACAAAAATTTTTAAATTAGTGTTTATGAAATGGATTGACAAAACATAAAACAAAAGTCAAAAAGGTATTGTAAGTGGATAAAACTAATTGCGCAAGTCTAATATAAGTTCAGGGCTTGGACCCCCATTCAATTTTTAAACCAGTTTTGGTCATTGACCCTAAACCGAAAGGCTATTTGATTTAAGGTTTCATTTAAGAAATTTAATTAATTTGACATTAATTAAATTTCTACGAAATTAATTGTTAACTGTAACACCAGTGTGCCCGCGGTCGTTGAGGGATTGACCACTTAAAGCCAGGAAAACAGTTTTTTTCTTGGTTCTGAGCCCTGCTTTAGTTACCAGTTAGCTAGCAGCAGCTTGGCCAGTTTTGTTTAGTATACTCTTGCATTAAGCAGAGCAAACACAACAAAATTAGTTTTATAACTTGCTATTTTATGGTTGAGCAAAAAAATATTTAAGAATATTTGTCACAAAAACAAACTCTGTTTAAAATCCAATTTGTTATCTATAATTGTGCCAGACATGCAAGCATGCAATAAACAATATAGACAGTGTTAGCTTACTTACATAGCTATAAGTAAGACCTACTTTGGCTTTTTAAGTTCTAAACCCTAAACATTAACTGGAAACAAATAATTACCTCATTTAGTTTGATAAAACCTATTGCATGTAATGAGCAGCTGTCTGCCCCTTTGATAGAGCGCGAGACATCACCTCTTCTGCCATTTAATATATTAATAGTACCATCTTCTCCTATACTAGCCACATCCCCTTCCAATGAATCAAGAGATGTGCATGAACATTTTTCAGCACTGGAATTTGGAAATTGTGAGTTGTGAAAATTTTACTATTTAAATATTTAAGCTTTTTTATTTTAGAATAATTTGTTACATATAGGCAGGTAATAATAGAACTATTTACCCGAAACTGTGCAATTTATTCCATGAATAAATTTCTTTCAGAGGAGTTTGTCGATCATAAGCGCTAACTTCAAGCATTTTGACATCACCATTTGAAACTGATACAGCGATTGTATTTTTGTTCACAAATCTAATTTCTGTCACATCTCCATCAATTTTATACTCGGATAGTTGTCTTGGGTATTCTACATCCTCATCTTCATTTATTGTCTCAAAGCTCCAAACTTTAATAGAATTTTCATCATCATCCCAACTCCCGGTAAAAAAATGTTTTGTTTCGACATAATCTTCAGGTATCCATCGAATTTTATTAATTTTCTGTGAGACAAACGTGCCTTGTACATCTAAAGGCATCTTTTTACTTTAAATAAAAATAATCACAGCAAAATAAACAGTCAAACTTCCGTTGTTATTAAATATTTTTAGGTTATAAAATTGAAAATTAAAATTACCCAACATCTGACATTGTCAAACTCAAATTCGTTCCATTCCACAATCCACATTTACTCACAATTTAAAAGTCCTAATCTGTTGTTATAGGATAAAGCTCTATTTATTTCAAACAAATGAAAATGATTTAAATCAATACCAAAATTAATGATTAATAATTTATCTGAAACATTTTTAATTTCCTGTATACTACTTATTTTAAAATATTTACCCTAACGCGTCATTTCAAGTCACAATTTATCACATTATATTTTATAGTTAACGCAACTATAAGCTAATAAAGAAAAAAAAAGTTTATCAACAAAACAAATGTGTCAATAATTTTCTAATCGTCAATCGACTTGATTCGATAAAATATTAATATGTATTATACTAGTACATGTAGAAGTTATATAAATTTTTATTATTGAAATTCTAAACTAAAATGACCCGTGAAGGAATTCTGCCACCTGCGGAGTCTGGAGCCTATATAAGTGATAACGCCAAACATGTTAAAATCCATTATGATGGAATTGATAAACTTTGTGAGGAGGTTCATATAATTTTCAATTATTCCTTATTTTATTAAGTAGTATTAAAATAAAGACTAATTACTTCGACTCTTTCAGATCTTGCTGTCATTAAAAGATAATAAACTTCAAATACCAGATACTGGTTCTGATTCCATTCATCCTAACAAGAACCATGGAAGAGCAATTGATTGGGTTTTTGTAACAGATGCATTAAACTTTTGTTTCTGGTCATTAGATAAGGAGCACCAATGGACAGTTAATGGTTACACAGGATATTTGGCTTTAGAAGCAGCATTACATAGAGCCATAAATGTAAGTGCAATAAATGTCATTTTTTATATCAAAATTATAAGTGCTTATCATATTTATCAGTATAAAAGAATTAATATCTTAAATTCTATTACTACTATAATTTATGTATCAGTTAAGATAAGAACAAGTTCCATAAAGGTATTGGCCTTTTAGCCATACTACTTATTAAAAGCCAACCTGCACTTGGCTAGCATGGTGGACTATAGCCTGATCCCCCTCGTACCGAAGGGAGCCCCATGCCAAGCAGTGGGATGTTAAAAAGAGCTGAATACATACATAATTATTAAAAACAAAATTAAAGTAATAAAACAAAAGTATTTAATTTCATCTTGAACCTTGTTAGAATCTGAACACCATACTAAAATATCCAAAGTTATATATAATAATATGTAATTCTTCTTAAATGATCATGCTGTAACTTGGAAGTGACTACAAATTCCATTTTGTGCTAAAAAATTGTTATGATCAAAACTTTATCTGTTAAATAATTTTGTGTCAAAAGTTGTAAATTATCCTTGATTTTAATATTTCTATATTTTAAATTGTCATCATCAAAAGAATTATAAATAATTTTATAAATTGTACATATATTTATTATTTAGAATATAATATTCTTACTTAACTTTTGTTTTCAGGAAGGGTATGATATCACAAACCCTGAATATTATTCAAAAATAACAGATGAAGAAGTGAGCCACATTTTCAGAGGAGATACTGAAGCAAAAATACCTTTGCTTGACCAAAGAACTTCGGTATTACATGAGGTTGGAGAGATACTAATAGAGAAATTTGAAAACACATTTGAAACATGTGTAAAAAATGCCAACAAATCTGCTGTCAAGTTATTAGAAATTGTTGTAAACAATTTTCCCTGTTTTCAAGATGAAGCCCATTATAAGGGTAAAAGAGTATCTCTATATAAAAGAGCTCAAATATTAGTATCAGATTTGTGGAACACCTTTGATGGTTCAGGGCCGGGAGAGTTTTACGATATTGACAAGATGACAATGTTTGCTGATTATAGAGTGCCACAAGTTTTAGTTTATTTTGGTGCTCTGAGCTATAGTGAAGAATTAAAGGAGAAATTACAGAAAGGTTGATAAATATTTTTTAAAGTTTTATTTTGAAATGTTTATTCATGTAACTTATAAAATGTAATGGAGTATGCACAATATTGAAAATGAATCAAAACTATTCTATCAATAAAAAGGTCCAAATCAGATAAGTATATGTGCGAATAGCACAAACCTTTGATTATAAGTGTTGATCATTGGCAGTACAATGTAAATTCACTTATAGCGCCATTGATCCACCTTTATTAAGATACTATTTTATATAATATTTTTGTCCGATTCCAAATAGGATGTAGTACTCAGTTCTTCTGTATGGGTATGTTACGTGATACATGCGACGCACAAATTGTGTATTGATTTAGGACATGAATCATTTTTTAAGTGAATCTGTGCTTAATATACAATATTGATATACAAAAACTTAAGATACACAATTAGCATCTCAAAAGTGTCCTCAAAAAGAAGCACATAATTCCAAATTATGAGCTTTTTTCAAATCTCTTTTGTTCATTGCTTTTTGGATGACAAAATTAAAGCGCATGTCGTTTTATTTAAAAAAGTTCTTTCACTTTATGTGGTGTGCGTAACTTCGAATTTGTGTTTAGGTAATTGGAAGTTTCAATTTTAGATTCCTATTCTTTGGTATGACATAACGTGACATTTCGACGCCACTTTTTGAAGAGATATTTGTTAGGAAATGTGTATCTATGATTTTATATTTTAAAGATAAGCCAACCATATCAATTTCATAAAAATATCCACTGTGAATAGGAAATATTTACTTATACGTGGTGTTTTTATTTCAGATATTATGTTGTCCGCTGCTTCATCAGAGGAGGTGGAAATTCGCGGATGCTCAATACATGCTGTGGAACTTATAAAGAAGAGTTTGCAGGAAAAGATTAATTCTTCTGGGATGAATGTAGAAGTTCCTAACGCAAGCCTCATTGATTATTATCTATGGTGCTACAGAAGAAAATATGCTCAGGAAATGGAGAAAATACCATACCACAAGACTTTGGGGATTTTTTATTGATGATACTTTTAACTTCAAGAAAATGATACTTAATTAAATTGGCTGATTTTTTGTATGTCACACCGCACACGATATCTGCGTCAAATAGAAACCGATTTTCATAATCCTTTTTTTATTAATGGGTTGTCCCATATAAATTTTATGGAAAAATTGAACTCCCATGAGGGGAAGTTTTAGTTTTACATAAATTTTAAAATTACGACAAAATTCTTAAATTAATTTAAAGAAGTTATTGTAGAAAAGATATTTTAATAGTGAAAATAATCTTTTTGTTTTTAAATATCTTCTAGCCTTACTAGCATTGATAATCAATGGTGTTAATATTATGACAACCATTATTACAAAAATATATATATTTGTGAATATGTATATACCTATTATGTTATATAATTAACATTTAAATGTATTTTTAATAAAACAAATTTTGTATATAGATATAGTTTTATTATTCCATAATAATTGACATTATTGCATCACAAGAACCCTATCCAAAATACAATATTTTGCCTGATCTATTCATTTATATAATATATTACATACTAAGTACAATAACTCCAGTTTAAATATCACGTAAATAAAGGAATATTTATTGCACATCTTATGACAACTAAATTCAAAATAAAAATAACGGTTAGCACACAACCTCTAGAGACCTATCTGCTATGTAGAATGTTTATTTACAACTTTGGCTTTAGCTATATTATATGATGATTATAAGCTATCGAACATTCCAGTTTTATAATTTTTTTTATTCTTAGGAAGCTAGTGTTTGAATTTAAATTTCTTGTGCCTTTTTAAATATTTGTGAGCTTTTGTTTTGAAGAAATATTAAATTTGATAAATAATTACCGATCACTGTAATGTGCGATAGCTGTTAATGGCACTTAGTATTTACACCATAACCTACTTATACAATGAATACGATTTTAAATTAAAAATAATTGTGACCAAAAAGTACCAATATAAATTATTTTTAATCTATATTGTAGTTTCAAGTTTCAACCACACCATAATAATTTTGTTTGTCTTTTTAGTTTTTACCCGACACGAATAAATAATTAGATAATTTATTAGGAAATTCTCTACGTTTCTTGTGTTATAGGTAACTTGATCTTTTATATGTGTAGTGCAAAATGGCACTAATCAATGACATTTAAAGAATTATATTGTGTTGTAGGTATTTATTATTTTGTGATTAATGAATTATTTTCGTAATAGCACTTGTTCAATGTAACCCATTATTATTTTCGTAATATTCGAAATATTTTGCAAATTAAAATAACTATAAAACTTATTTACAGAATAGTAAACAAGCCCTAGTCGCTAGTTAGTGGAAATGTAAGTGATCGAATAAAAATATATATTGTCTGTAATTATTATAAATAATAAACAAATATTTTAGAAGCATTTTCGAGACTAGCTCTGAAGAAGATTCAATGATTATTTTGTCAATTTTGTTTTGAGGCTTTCGAAGAAGGCCAATTTTGTTTTAATTGTTCCTGGTTCTGGCACTGGACTGCCTGGTCTACTAGACTCTCTTGTGACCTCTTCACCTTCAGGTAAACCTTTGGCACCCCCAGGGACTGTCAGTGGAGTAGCCATAGATAATTTTAATTCTTCACGAAATTCTTTCGAAATACTTCTTGCGGTGAGACTGTGCATGTATGTTAGTTTGTTGCCGTACTTCTCTTTAATGTCTGGACTCAAAATGTTTTCTTTGCTTTTTTGCCTTTTAATAACGGGTTGTGGCTGTAACAGATTATATTACGTTATTAAACGATTAGTTTAACCTTGCGCATGAACTTTGTGGACTGGCGCAGCCTACTAAGCTAGAAGTCGCAGGTTCATTTCTGCACAGAGTCAATGTCAATTGGATAAGCAAATATTGGTCCTGAATAAAGACAAAGCTAGACTTTAAAAACTGTCGCACATTATGTCGGAATATAAAAGAAAGCGGTGAATCATTGAAGGCGTATAAGCGTTGATAAATAATTTTTTTTTGTAATATATTATAACTAATACTTAATACTATAATACTTTTTCATATACGAAAATATTATTAATGACAAGTAGGTACATTTACATGAACTGTATTCATTAATTTCATTGCGTCATCTAATTAAATAAAAGATAGTTTTCACGCAAATCTTCTTCTAAACAATATTTAATTATTTGCTTTGATTTCGTAAAATTTAAGTATTCTTCAAAATATGCATTACCTATATTATTCTTAATATATATATATACATACATATATTATTTATGTGCAAAGGAAAGAATGACTCATATTATAAACTGACCTTGATTGGTTCATTAAGGCTCTCCATGCTCACGAACTTTTTTGCTAACTCCTTCACGTTTGGTAGCAGTGCAGCTAATTCATCTATTTCACTCGTTTTTTCTTCCACTTCCGTTTTTAAGCTGTCTATTATCACTGCGTCGTCTGCAACATCACTGTGCTCACTGTGTGTTTCGTTTTCTCCCGCATTCTTATCTGGTATATCGATGTTGTCATTTTTGTCAGTTGCGTATCTTGATACCTTATCTTCAGGTGTACATTTCACAATCTCACCAGTTTGTACATTATAAATTTTAATTGAATCTTCTATACTAGAGCTTAATGAGTTCTCTATACTTATAGGCGATTTCTCACGTTCACTGTTATCTGTGGGTGAGATTTTGTCAGAATTGTAGGCGGTCTGCAATATTTCTTCGAATTTCCTGTCAGTTTCATCATCTGCGTATACAGACTTTGCTGGAAATAATGTATTTTCGTTGGCGTCTTCATATTCTATTAATATTTCATTTTTGTATTCGGTAGGCATCGTTGTTATAGATATATTTTCTTTATCTTTACCACTGAATTTAGTGTACTGCTGATTAGTAGCGATTGTGTTGAACTGTTGTATCAGTAGTCCCTGAAATTGTAATTGCTTTGTCAGGATTAGTGCTAGAAGTTATCTATCTTGTAGATAAGAGACGTTTCTTAATTTAATAATATAAATTAGAATTCAGTGGCGTAGTTATAAATATGCACGTAATTCTAAAAGTTATTAAAGTTAAATCTATTGTATAATTAACGTATAAAAATTTTTTTTAGTCTACAATATAATAAATACGTTTCTGAATTCTCACTTTTATTGAAACTAGAAAATAATTGATATATTTAATGAGATAAATATAAGCCCCATATTATTATAATTAAGATTTAGTACGGATTAGATAGGGTTAGAAATAATATTAAAATTAGATCGTGCAGTGTTTAATTAGTCAATGGTTATACATTATTATTTTGGTGGAAGAGTTAGTGCTGATGCTGTTAAAATGGCGTGGGAAGGAAATCAGATATTGTTAGTCACATGATAAGCTTTGTTATTCGAATGTCTTTTTCGCCAAAAACTTACAACACTCACCACTAACTTCTTGGAGGATTACTGTTGTTATACTGAAAACTTTAAAGGGCACAAGTTCATGAGTGCTATTCTATTCAATATACTAGTGCATAGTGCTGTTAGTCAGTCATTTTTTTTAAATCATGCCAACTTTCACACTCGGGCAATTTAGTATCAAACAACAATTTTTTTTAAATAATATAAATCCTTTCACCATTGCTTTATATACTATAGTTATGAATGAATGATTTATATAATAAAAATAACGTATACGCTATGTAAGTATTGCACATAGTAATCGGAGATTCGTCCTGTCAGTTTGGATGGGATATCTTTTATTATCTACATTGTCAGAAAGTGCTAGATGTGTGTATTAATTGGAACTAATGGGACATCACCAAAGGTCTCTATGTAAACCTTTTAACCTGACGCTTCCACCGAAAGCGATATTGATGCCTGGACGACGCTTACGAACGTACTCGCTTCTCATTGTGTTACTTCTAATATCCGCGTACTTTTCGAAAAGGTGATCAGTTATTTCCGGCTTTTTTGGTATTTTAAGTCTAACTAAATCATCACTTATTTCAGCTGCATCGCAATTATTGACTTTAAATATATCTCCGTTTGAGGAGTTTCTACAGATGTGATGATTAAAAGCCTCTTCAAAATTTTCAGCATTATTGCGTGAGAAATTACTGTACGCACATCTAAAATTATGGATATTGTATCCATCGTTACTGTCATGTCTTTCGGGGTTTTCAAAAATGGGGTTGATAGCGAAATTGGGACTCGCGTGTCTAGGGCTGAAGACATTGCGTTTTATGCTCGCATGAAGAGCGATGCCCTCGAGATCACTCAATGAGCTGCTAGCACTTACAGGTGCGAACTCCCTATCGAAATTCTCTAAGCTGGTCGATTTGTTTATGGAATTTGAGAGGGAACTCGCGCCGCTGAAGCTGTTTTTCTTTCGCTCCCCTGATGACGATCTGGCCTCTTTCACATAATAATCACGGCCGTATCTACAATCAAAGTAAGTATACAAAAGTAAAGAATAATTTTTGCTAAAGTTTTTAAAACAAAAAACCTAAAATTAAAACAAAAAAAAACAGCCATATAATTGATGAAAATAAATATTTACCGTTTATATTGTGGAACTTCCTCTAATAGCACATCTTTTAAAATTTTGGGGGACGGACTCATCGATCTTCTATCATCCATTACTGTATTATCTGTGCTTATACTAGAATTTAATTTCGGTGTTCCATCTACATCATTTGCAGAGTCTTCTCTCTTGATAATCCTGCTATTGTTGTGACTTGATGTTATTTTTTCTTCATCTACATCCTTTTTAGAGGTAATTGAATCAAAAAGAGAAGATGTGCTTTTAGCAGAAAGTCTCTTCTTAATTGCTTCAGGCGAGTAAGGGTTATTTGGCATTTCAACATAGTTCAGCCACTTTTTACGTTCCCTATCTGCTATGGAACCTAAAATTATAAATTAATTATTTATGTGTTTGTGCTTATTACATTTAGACTACAAAATCTAAAGCACTATACGACAGGATAGAAACTTTAGGAGCGCATAAATAGTACCAAAAGGTCCTTTATTATTCATGTTTTATCTTGGATTTGGAACGAAATTTGTACAGAATGTTATTATAATGGTGGAAATCCTAATAAATTAACATTGTCTCAATGGTCTCAATATAGGTAACCAAGTAAAATGTAAAGTGGCCAAATTTGAAGTCATTTCAAAGGAATGTCAATCATTAATAAATTAATAAATTAATGAATACAAACTGTTATCTTTTGATTATATGTAACATAAAAAATCCTGAGGTGGTACGAAACACTCGGTTAGTAATCTATACAATAATAAAATTGTAACTAAGTCGAATCTGTACACTAATATTTTTTTGGGAAATCTAATTGAAATAGACATTATTATCGATACAGAGTCCGAATCTATGGTTTTTAGAATTTTTGTCTGCCTGTTACCGCATCACGAGAAAACCACTGGACAGATTTTGATGAAATTCGGTATGATGATAGCTTTTAGCTAGTTATCAGGTTGAATATATAAAAACACAAAACTGCATTGTAAGACTATACTAATATGTAAAACCTAAGAATTTGGTTTTTAGTCATCTGAATGCGTGGGGAGCCGCGGGAAATGCTAGTGTATTAATAAATTTTATGAAAATAAATGGAGTATACAATAGTGAAACTTATATATTTACCTGGTATTAAGTCTTCCTCTTGTTCATTTTGAGATCTAAAAAGACAAAAATAATATGAGTTCAGTTTTGTTTTTATGCACACATTAAAAATCTATTAGTTATGAACGTAAATTAAAATCATTTGCAATTATATATTTAAATTTAAATAACTTACTGTTGAGGTTCTACGAAGTGTTTTCTTCTCAAGCTGTCTGCATATCTCTGGACTGGCAATGCTTCTGTTTCCTCATACGATTTCTCTCGTTCCGAACGATTGAGTGTGCTTGTGTTTTCTAAAATGTAAAATTGAGATTTAATATAACTAAATTATATTAAGACTTTTATGTTTTAAACATAAAAATATTATTAGTACCTTTAGTATGAGTAAAACTAGCGTCAATACTATCTTCTCTTAGGCTTTCGTCTGTATAGTTTTCAGCATGACCATTCAATACAGTTCTATGTATTTCTTCTTTGAGATTGAACTCCGTTTTAGATAGAGGCCCACTATCAAGACCAAGAATTAATATAGAATTGTGGGTCTCGTTATTATCATTATGTATAGCATTACCATTACAAATGTTTTTCTGAACTAATGTAGGAGAATCTATTGTATCTTCACCTTCATTTTGTTCATTTCTTATATCCTCAGCACCTTCTCCTTCAATCATCGTTAAACTATCAGGTTCGAAATCTAAAGCTTCATCTATTTTAGGTTTACCACCAATGACGTGTTTAGACTCGAGTACTTTTTTAATATCACTTCTGAATTCAACATCTTGTTCTTCATCGTCACTGGCATTGTCAGAAAGATCTGTCGTGTCTTCAGCATCCCTGTCACCAATAAGTGCCCTATATTGTGTATTAGAATTAGGAACAAGCATTGGTACGGGCGCAGATTGTATATTTTTTATCTTTTTCTTTTGGAAAAGCCAGTTTTCCTCCCACGAACCATCCGCTGCCTGTATATCGCTGCCAGAAACTTCATCGAAATCTCGGAATTCATTATCTGAAATTATACAAATGTTATTTATAATTAAATTATTGCACGTACTTCATATGTTAGTCTGTGAAGACTTCTAACTTCAGCCAAAGATACTTAAAGCTATCTAGCTTTAAAATTCCTGAACCGTTTGACCTTTTAAAGCGCAATCGTTCTATTATACCACTATAACTAGATACTTGATGATATTATGTGAATCATAAAACGTTTTCTTAGTCAAGATTGAAGCTGCAGGAAGTTTAGAGTATAATTTACAAAGATGTATATATTATAATTATTACCTGTTGCATGGACGATATCTCCGCCAAACTCTGGGAAGGGTACGCGTCGAGGTACCTCAAGTGCTTCGTCTGTGCCTTCTTCCCAGTCAGATGCATCATCTTCTTCATGAATCTAGAAATTTTATTATACATTGTGTTAACATTAATTAAAATTTAAATTATCTAAATCTTAATAATATGTTGGTAACACATTCGTTTTGTTTTATTTTGTGTACACTACATAAATAGTTTGTGTTAGAAAATAATTAATCAACTTACTGGAGGAGTGATATCTCTTGTGTTTCTAGAATTAGATCGTGGAGAGGATCTGTCGGAGGGTGATGGACTGGCGCTAGCCGAATGTATACCGCTACTGCGACCACCTGACCCGCTTTCCGTTTGATAACGTTCTATAACCTGAACAAAAACAAATACAATTCATTGTAACATTAAAAAAATATTAATGTTTAATATAGGCAAGAATTACGTATTATTTAAGGCTTTGTTTTTGAGAATTTTCCTCCACCACGACAAAGCGAACATACATCGGGGTGATGTATTATTTAAGGCCGACTTTTTAACGAGATGTCGATGCGTATTTGAGGCGGTCGTGTGTATATGTTTTCGCTTATTTTCCTTTGCGGATTAGACGTATAGTAGAGTAGTAGAGTAAAGTGTATCACACTTCATTTTGTGCTTTATTACGACCGGTTGACGATTATAGGATTATTTATTTATTTATTATTAAGCACACTTACAATACACATGTTAAAACAATTTAATACAATAATTAAAAAAAAAACAGACATGCTTATCAGTTACAAGTGTACATATATAGCATTCATAATAACAAGGAATTATTATGGTAGTCGATAAAAAAAACAAAATTAACAAGATGTAGAAACTAAGTATAATTCCAAATAAAATAAAGTAAAAACAAAAATAATTCGATTTTAGTTAATTAATAATTGTATAAAAAAATTTATATGTATATTTAAATCACAGACTGTTAGGTATGGATATTATATTTCTATGGACATAAATAGATCTTTCACACCCACAAAAATCAAGAGATCGAAGGCGTTAAAAACCTTGACATACGGTTATTAAATAGCTGTTAATTTACGATATGCTTTTAACTAGGCTATAAATATGCATATAAATAGCGTCAAGATAGTTGTTATTTTTATTTAAAAAATATTTTCTCCGTCGACCAGTTGTGTTTTCCCTCGGGAATGAGAGGTTTTCCTGTAGTAAAAGGTATCCTAAATGTTGATCCGAGTAATAAATTCACTACACAAAATTTAGTTAAAATCACAAGCATCAATCACATAAAAGTACAAAGACATACACACCAACAGACATACAGAAAAACAGACAAAAAAATTAACAACTATTGTTTTGGGGTCTATATTCTGTGCACAATACGTAACAGATGTTATTTTTACATAAAAGTACTTCTCATTAATTAGAATCAAGTGCATTACGTAATGACAAACAACTAAAAACAATATGAAAAACTAAGTCATTATTAATAATATGTCGTCGCCTTTGACCAAAACTATTTGAAATTTACTTTTATTTGGTACTTAACAGTTACACAACAAATATTTAAATATTTTTAATTTTTTTTCGTATACGGGTGATTCTATTTAAGAAGGACGAAAACCATGTTAATTTCGGCACGGACTTTTATTTGCATTTTAGGCAAAAGAAGTAGTTTGAACTATAGCTTAGATTGTTTTTATATTGATCTAAAACGGGCCAGTCAAAAAAACTCCCTGCCGAGGTTTTCCCAGAGGGCTACAGTATGGGGTCCTTCAAAAGGGGAGTAAATAGGTTCTTAAAGGGTCGGCAACGCGCATGTGATGCCCCTGGTGTTGCAGGCGTCCATAGGCTGCGGTAACCGCTTACCATCAGGCGGGCCGCATGCCTGATTGCCACCGACGTGGTATAAAAAAAAAGTAAAAAAAAACAAACTATGTAATTATTATTGCCTTTTAAAAAATATTAATATCCAGGAGACTAGGGCTGGGAACAGGGTACTGAGATTTCAAATAATAAATCAAATTGCTTAGGTACTAAATAATTAACATTTTCACGTAATGAAGAATCATTTGAAATAGATTAGAACGTAAAACTCACGCAAAAAAAAACCAGAAACATAAAACTCGAAACTCTTCATAACCTTTTCACAGCTTTTTAAAATTTTATTATTGACTATTAATAGGCAGAGGTTACTACCTGATAATGTTATTCAGTCTTCTATAATATTTTTCTTTTTTAATCATTAACTTTACTTAATCATTAATCTCATTGTACGTTAATCATAATCAGTCATAATACAATCTGAAAAATCTTAGACGAAGAACAAACAACTATTCTTTTTGTGAATAGTTTGTGTAATTTTTTGTATAATATGTTTTAGAATCGAGCTTATTTTCAGTGCCATAATAGAGAAAGCTAGGCTTGGTTGTGAATTAAAGTGATAAAATTAAACAAAAATATACGAAATACGAAGAGCCGTTGAAAATTTCATCAAGAATAGAACCACCCATACATTAAATATTTTTTGAAAATCTTATTGAAATAGACATTATTATCGATACAGAGGCCGAATCTATATTTTTTTTAAATTTTGTCAGTCTCTCTGTGACCGCATCATGGAAAAGCCACTGGTAGGATTTTGAAGAAATTTGGTATGATGATAGCTGGTTACCGGGTCAATATATAGGATACTTTATACTGCGGGAAAATATCTCATCATTTTTATTAATAGCTATTAAGCTATTAAGCAAAAAGTAAGTAGGGACGAACCCGAGCGGAGCGAGGGTGAGTCGATATTATTTTATAAGAAAAAAACTGAGTGAAGGCGAAGGTCAGGGTTAGTTCAGTTAAATTAAATAAAGTATTAAAGTTAAAATTCAAGCAATAAAGCCGGTATCGGTCCCGAGAACTGGTTCTAAAAAACATCGATGATTTTTTTTCAATATAGTAATGGTAATAAAAATGAAAATGATTACCAAACAAATCTTGTGTATTGTGTAAGGTGCATTATCTTGTATGGTAATATACTTACAGTTACATACTGTAATCTATATATAAGTACAGTAGGTTGACAACAATATTGTTTACCTTGCACTTGTATAAATTGCAGCAGTTATCTAATTAAATGAATCTAAATGAAATTAAAAAAAATCTTTCGGATAGATACAAAACTTACTAAAAAAAATCTCTTCGGCTATTATAAAAAATAATTTATAAAAGTGTTTGTAATTCAAAACGCAGAGTGAAATTATAAGACGAAGTGCTTTTGCTCTATCTTTGTTTAACATAAATGAATATTAATATAACAATAGCAGCTAACATGATATAACCGTGATAAGTTATTCTTATTATCTGTCTTTCTAATGTTTTATTTTATGCCTTAACAAAGTCATCATCAACATAGCTTTAACATTTTTCAAACGTTTGGTTCAGAAAGTAAAAGTTATAAAATCACAACTAAACGATATGGGATAATAATTAATCTAGAATACAATATTTGGAAATTGAACAGTTCTTACTCTAAATAAATTTAAAGCATTGCAAATTATGCATATATGATATATCATCTTGGATGACATTATCAATAAAATGTAAATTAATTGCGGCATATCTGATTTTCTGGTAATTTCACTTGGCGTGTAAATAAGAAAGAGACCTGTCTCATTGTCTGTTTAAATCTACGAGTAGGTAATAGAAAATTAGTAACAATACCTCGTTGTTTCCATCAGGAAAGTAGGGTACGATCAGATTATAGAACATCGCAGTAAAAAGGCACAATACGATTATGACGATTATTAGGTGAGATACTTTTAATTATTAATTGTGAAGAACAAAGATTCTCACGGGAGAGATCGGTAGCAACTGTGATGCGAATGTGGCGGGACATTGTACGTGGGTCGTAGGGTTGTCAACATCAAATGTAAGTTAAGTAAATAAATATTTCATTTATACTTTTCTCTACATAAAATTTTACGCTCTATTTACCTAATTATTGTTTATTAATTAATTAATCTAAACAAAAATTTAATCAAACATCTGTTTTAGTTATTTTTGCACTGTTACATTTTTATCACAAGCAAGGCATCGAAATAGATCCTCAAATGTAAAAGAAAATCACTCACCCAGCTAACTACATATAACATAAACACTATCAGCGTCATATACAACGATAACATGCTAACACCGGTCACCGCACAATATATAAAAATGGAAAGGAATTCTATTTACATTAACACAGCAAACTTACACACCTAATTATGAAGAGAAATTAACACTTACCATTTCTTTATAGCGAATACTTTGGTCTATCTGAAGTCGTACGCGATCCAGTTATCACGATAACGTTTTATCTATGCGATAGTTTATCGTAAATCTAAATACTGGTGGATAATTTTTATTGTAATCCGAGTTCTTTATTCTAAATATATCATTTGGAATCAGATTTTCAAATCGGATGTGATATTGAAGAGCTCTACATAAATCTTCAAGACTGCGAGATTGTATGAGATTTTTAGTCGTAATTTAAAGACATTTTTTATTTTATTTAAAATATAAACGTACAGACAGTACAAAGTAAATAAAATGGAGAGTAAAATGTATGGACTGTAGATTTATGTATATTTTTGTTTTCATTTTAAAACGTTAGATGAGATTTCTATTTGTTTATTTTGCGCGTGTATTTAATATATGTTTTATATACAGGGGGTAATTAAAAACTTGCTTACCTTCTAATCTAATTAAATATATCTTATCTCATAAACATTATTTATACGACCAGTTCCAGCAGATTCATTTAGTAGATTCTGCATTTATGTAGTTTCTTTGTAATTTTTGCATACCTACATATAAATATATCGTATAATGAAGTAGTAATTTTAACTTACTCTTACTTACTTGTAGCAGCTTAAGCGTTTGTTCTAATAATTTTTTTTTTGTAAACAACATGTTTCTGAACTTTATAAAGCTCAAATTAAAAAAAATAAGAAAAAATATATTATTAAGTTTTAAAAACAAAATTACTATATTTAATTCGTTAAGTGTGGTGTTTATTTTTAAAACAAACTGACGGACATGTAAAAATGTAGAGTCTTAAGAAACCAATCATAGCCATGTTGATAAAAAAAATTAAAAAAAATATAAATATGCGATGACCCTTAATTAAAGGGGATGGTGCGTAGTTTGTATAATTGCAGAATTCGTAAGGATTCCTTCGCTAAGGTTTTGTTCACATCGTTTAATTGGATGTAACCTGTCTTACTTACAAGCGTAATCAATCAGTCTCTATTTTGATATAAATAAATTAAATGAAACAAACTAAACAATGCAGGCGCTATAAATTAATTTAATTAGATACGTCACAAATATTTTTCCAAAAATGTGAGATAACATATTAATTAAAATTATCTATAAAATTGTTATAATTATCTGTTATTTTCTTTTTATTATTATAAATGTGAGAGTCTCTACTTTGGGTGTTTGTTTGTCTTTCTTTAAAATAGCAATGGCGTAACTTATTGGTGTGTATCTTGCATACATTTAGTTTACGTGATAGAGTTTTAACTGTACTTTTTATCCTGATATCGATTCATTTTGTATTTCGTGCCAATTCTCGTAGAGAACTAGCATATTGGATACGAATAGCAACAAAGATTCTGGTCAAAAAAGTACGATTGTGAGATAATAAAATCGATTAAGTTGACTCATAATAAAACAAAAATTTATAATCAAGTTTTACAAAAATAACTTTAAAGAAATTTTCTGTTGATAAATTTATCTAATCCTTTATATATTTTATCATACTAATAAGGTTTATGTTGTTTATTTGTAATACTGGATCCGGTAGGTAGACGTTGACCAACCACGGACAATTAATTCGCAAAATTTAAAAAAAATATGGAAAAATGGATCTAGATAACAGCGCCACCTGCCAGTTCTAATTATAGCTATGATCCATACAGATATTTTCATAAGTGCACAAAAGAAAATTCATCAAAATCGGTAGAGCCGTTTAGAAGTAAAAGAATTACGAACACACATATAAACTAAATGTAAACTAGCGTAGCATATTTAAAATAATCATTATTTTTATACGAATCGTTACATAACACATTATACAAAATACACTGTGCAGCCAGTAAAATTCTCCGTACGATCATTAAAACATCTATTTTTTTGCTTATTAATCATGCTGTAGAGTCAATGTCAGTGTTAAAGTGAAAAAAAAATCCTTGAAGAAAATAAAATACATATTATAATATGTTATTTCGTTTATATAACAAATGGTAATTTGCTTTTTAATTTATACCGATTAGCACGGCGTGTATAATTTTTATGCGTGTTTTGTATGGACTATTTATGCAAACTATGAATCTTTTTTTTATGGTATTCAGTGACAAACGAGCTGAAAGACCACCTGATGGAAAGCGGTACCTGTCGGCCATAACACCTACGGTTCGTGCACTTAAGGTTTTATGTTACAAAAATGCAGAACTGCAGCTCAGGTGCGTTGTCACTGTGAGGACTAAGATGATATGCCTCTTGCCTGTAATTGCGCTGGCTACCTTATCCTTGAAACCGGAACCGGGAACACAACAATGTAATCATTGTTGCTTGGCAGGAGAAATACATAAGCCACCCCCTTATGTATTTCTCCTGCCAAGCAACAATCGGTCATCCAGTCGGACTCCTCAGGCTTGACAGAATCCTACCACCGATAAATCTCTTTAATGGTAATGTAGATTTGTTTTAATACATTAAGGACGAAAACGTTGTTGAAACTATAATGAAGTAAATAATTTAATATAATTTTATATATTATTAATCTATATGTACCTATATATACATACATATATCAAGTAAAGCGGATCAAAAGCCTGGGTCATAAAGATCATGAGGACACATGTCTAAGACCATCTAGCAATTTTTAGAAAGACATATAAAGTCTATCAACCCGCTCTTGGCTAACGTAATGGTCTATGGTCTGGTCCCCTCGTGTTGTAGGCAGGCGGCAGGCCTGTGCGCAGCAGTGGGACGTTAAAATCAGCATATATATAAAGTAATAGGTAAGTATATAAAGAAACAGTAATATAAAGAATGTAAATGTGTATGTATGTACATACATATTTACATCCTTATAAACAAAGTTGTAGTCATAATTCAAGGCGTAGTTTCAAAACATTGCGTGCAGCAAATCAATTCGACATTAGCGATATTGCCTCATACAATACTATAGGTACGGGTACTTAGGAGTTTCTCGAAGGCTGTAAATACTATTTAACGACCATGGACTATGCAAGATATTTATTATTAAATAAATAAATATACATTTATTATACAGTAGCGACTCAGCCTCGCTTGGCTCGGGTTCGACCTTAGGTTGATTCTCCATACAAACTTTCATCCCCATTTTCGCTTCCTTAAGGGGTGATTTCCGGGATAAAAATTATCTTATGTCTTTTTCCCAGGGGTCTCAAATTATCTTACCAAATTTCAACGAAATCGGTTCAGTAGTTTCGAAGCCATTACAAACAAACAAAAACTCAAATCTTTCCTCTTTATAATATTAGTAGGTATAGATGAAAAACAAGCTATAATGTCACTAAAATCTGAGAGAAAAAAAGAATTGGGAACATTCAAAATCAATATTTTTCTAGCATAACTTCTCATGATGATGGTGATTGAAAAGATAGTATTCTAAAGGTAAAAACTGAATTGATTACCTGTTTTGCGTCCGACTTTCATAGGTAGGCAGGTAAATAATAATTATTTATTAATAAGTATATTACACTAATCTTTCATACATAGATTAACACTTTGATTAATAAATTTAAAAAAACTGACTTCCAGGCACTTAGATGTAAAAAATAACTAAGCGTGGGGTTTTCATTTAGAATAGATACCTAATCAGATATTTTCGAAGTCGAAAATAAATATTATCATATGCAGGTAATTTGTAAGAAGAAAGTTTTTTAATAACATATTCGATTAAGCAATTTATTAAAAAAATAATTAATTGTTGATTTTTTGAAAACCCTTTGACCGATTTCGATAAAATTTAAATGGGACCACCTGGGAAGTATACCCTTCGAAACGAAAAAAGTTTTTTCCAAATCGGTTCATGCGTCTTCGAGTTATCGGTGAACATACATAAAAAAAGATACTGACGAATTGGGGAAATCCTAGGAAGGAAATAAAGGAATGCCTCTCTCGGGTTCCACTATGATTAACGGCAATCCTTTGAGATTTTTCTTACTAGCGATACACATTTGACATAATATCTAAAAAAATGATGTCAAAAACATATAGCTACTCGTAGTAAGAAAAGCAACAGATAGATAGAATATTGAGATCCACGTTAAGAGATGTGATAGTATGGCGTTCAAACCAATCATCTATTACGTTTTGTACAATCAATTTAAAGAGAAAGGGAGTGGAGGATAATCTTTTCCCTTTTTAATGGAATAGCATCTAAAAACATGACTTTTTTGATATTTTTAATAATTTAGTTAGTAATTATAATAGCTTTTATACAACAGAATAAGAAATAATGAAGCTCATGTTCTAGTGGTATTGAAAAATTAACATTTTTGTGGTCCTTTTTTATTAATATAAAACAAATAATATTAAGCTGCCATAAATATTGTAATATGCAATATTTTATTGGCTTCGTATATATTATCATTGGGTTATCAACTTGTGTTGTTTTATAGTCCAAGAATATGTCAATATTTGCAGTACAATTTGTACACTATATAATTTTATGCACATTACACATTCGAGTAGGTACTCGAAAGTACAATGTGTATTCAAACATTCGTGCTCATCACACAAATGAATGCCCCCAGCGGGACTCAAACCCGAGATCACTGTCACAACAAACTGTCGTCGTGTCGTTTCCATAGTGGTTAGTACCAAACGTTTGGTTTTTAAAAAACACATTATAACATCATAAATTTTAATACTTTCATAAATTTTGTTAAGTGACCATATGGAGCCTTGTTTTGCTATTATTTGTGTTAATTTATTACCTTATTTAGGATGGCAGTGGCTAGAAGATCTTCATATGTAGATGAAACACTTGGCGTGTGCGGTTCAGCAGTATACCTAGCAAGTGCGGGCAGTGCTGCAGCCTCTTCAACTACTCTAGCGACCAAGCGCTTTAACTGCGCGTGCGCACCGCTAGCACCTACATGGTTGTGTGTCGAGCGTTGTTGAGGTAGATCTGTAAAAATATGCATTGTCGTTTTTAAATTGGGCTATTTTGTAAAAAAGAAGAATTTCTTTGTCTAAAACTCATATCTCGCAAACACTCATCACTCATATCATATAAAACATATCCTAATGTATATGTTTTATATATATACGTTTTAACGTTTAGTATAGATTTCTCAGAGATGAGATATTTTCCTGCCGTAACAAGTATCCTATATGTTGAAACAGATAACCAGCTATCATCATACCAAATTTCATCAAAATCTGTCCAGTGGTTTTCTTGTGATACGTTCCCAGACAGACAGAAATTTTAAAAACTACAAATTCGACCTCTGTGTAATAATGACTATTTCAATGAGATTTTCCAAAAAATATTCAATGTACAGATTCAACACAGAATTTTATTATAAATATATGTTTTATATGACAAGTGACAATTTTAAAAAATCTTTCAGACATTAAATAAACAGTTAAACAAAAGTGCTCAGAAACCGCTTTACAATAGCGAAATGCTTTACAAGATAGAAGAGCGACCTTACCTTCTTCTATATACGTATATAAATTACGGAAATGGTTTTCTTGTATATAGATAAAAAATATATATATATAAAAAAACAATAATGACTACGGTCGAATTTCGGCCACTGGTCGGCCTTTAGTCATCTTTACTAATATTATGAGGCAAAGTTTATTTGTTTGTTTGTTTGTTTGTTTGTTTGTTTGTTTGTTTGTTTGTTTGTTTGTTTGTTTGTTTGTTTGTTTGTTTGTTTGTTTGTTTGTTTGTTTGTTTGTTTGTTTGTTTGTTTGTTTGTTCGTTTGTTTGTTTGTTTGTCTGTCTGTCTGTTTGTTTAAACGCTTTCATCTTAGATATCCAGTTTATTAAGGAAGGCTATAAGCTGTATTGATATGCTAAAGTACTAAAGTGCTGCTCATGCAGTAATCATAAATGTCAACAAATCGGGCAGACTTCCATACATTATTGAAAAGAGAAGGGAAAGAAGAGTTTGTTTTTCTGCACTTTGAGCACAGGCAAAGTCGCGGATTCTGCTAGCGTTGAATAAAATAAAATGTATATACTAGCAACTCCAATTGAGTTCTTTTATGAAATCGGTCAAAAATATGTAGATAAAACACTTTCAATATATTATCACGTTATTTGTAATAATGTATGACTATAATTTGTCAATGTTAATATTGTCACAAGTATTGTAATGCAAATACAAAGCGCAAACAATAACATTCCAAATATATGAGCCACTTTTATAAATACAATATAAGTAAAAATGGCGAAAATTTTAAGTAAATTAAGAATTTAAATTAACTTACTTAAGATATTAAACATGTTTTATTTGTCTTAAAGGGGGCTTGGTGTAGAAGCTTGAAATTTAGCATTGCTATATAAAGAAGTACCTAATCTATACTAATATTATAAAGAGGTAAAGTTTGTGACTTTGTGAGTTTGTGACGTTGTAGGGGGGTAATCTCTGGATCTACAGAACCAATTTAGATGAAATTTGGTAAGAAGATAGTTTGAGACCCTGGGAAGGACATAGGATATATTTTTGTCCCGGAAATCATCTTTTAAAAGTTTAAAAATGGGGATGAAAATTTGTACAGGGAAGCAAGCTAGGGACAAACCCGAGCGAAGCGAGGGTGAGTCGCTAGTACTTATATAAAGACTTATAAGCTTATAATAAAATAAATATTATAAGTGCTAAAAATCATTCAGGTGAAGCAGGTGTACGTCATTAGTATTGTGCATGAGGAGGGTAAAAAAGGATTTCCATATGGCCGTGGCAGTAATATATATAGAATTATTATTTTATTATATTTTCAATAAAAATAAAATTCTTATACGAGTATGTACTCGTAATTATATACACGGATTTAATATCTCTTTTGAAAAAAAGTAATATGTCTAATGGCTATTAAAGGAGTTCTTAATATAAAATAAAAGTTAAGGTAGATATTTGTATCTACACTCTTTTCCTACGATAATAGGAGAACATAGTGAGGCACAGACTAGCACAGAAGTGTAGCAGATTCAATTCCTGGGAAGCCTGACCTCTGATATTTTAATGTTCGATTCATTTTCAACCTCATTACTACTACCACAGATTATATAATACTATACTACTATCATCATTATATCATCAATATAGAAAAACGACGAAATTTACATCGGAATATCGCGAGATAAAATTGCATGTCAGTTAACGGTTACGGAGGTAGTCGCGAAAAACCGACTGAGGTAGCGTTTGTGCGTTTCGACTTTCGAGTGTGATATCTCCAGAAATATTTATTTTAGAAAAAAAAAATTAAAACATAAAAAAGATATTAAATTTAATTTAAAAGAGAAAACATGTCCATAGTTTTTTACGTAGGATGAGCCGTCCTGGAGATAACGAATAAAATGCGTTTTTCGCGATAGTGGCGCCAGCGCCTCTCGCGCGACCTATCAAACTTGGCTTTAGGCTTAGAAAATACCTCTTTATCGAATAGAAATATCGCAGAAATTGTTTTAATTTATATACATTGATTCAACTATTGACTGGACTATACACTTGCCTTACGGTGAAGGAAAACATCATGAGGAAACTTTCATGTTTGAGAAAATCTAGCAAGTTTTCGAAAGACATGTGCTCACCTATAAGGTCTAATTCCTCATGTTGAAGGGAGACCCGCGACCTACAGTAGGCCTTTAAAAATGGCTGAATTCTACAGTTAATAGATGTTTTTATTACATTTTAATCCTTTTATGTATGTATAAGTTGTTAATGGCTGTCTTCATTATGAGTTTCATAAATCAATTAAAACTAAAACATTCATGTTTTTACGTCAAGAAACTTGGTCTTTACTTATTAATTCTTTATTTAAAACTAACGAGAACGAGTTTTAACCAATGTATAATGAATCAAAGTTAAGTAAAATAATGAATAAACATTAAGATTTTGAAGCTGAAATATCTAAAAAAATTAGCTCTTATATGAATATAATTTTTTTGGTCGTATTGTTTTGTGTTAGGAATTTTAAACAAGGTGTTATTTACAACATACAATAAAGAGCTTACGTACTAAGGTCTAATTTAATAAAAAAAAAATGCCAGCATGATATAACATTTACGTGCAAATAACACGGAATGAACTGTTTATATTCAAATTTTAACGATTTTTTAATTAATTAAAAAAATATACATAAATATTTTTTAACATTCACATAGATTATATAATAAATAATTGTTACAGCATAGAGAATTAAAGGTAAAGCTGAAGTTAATTAAAATTGAATTTCTTACTTATGGTAATGAAACAACAACAAGTAAAAAAAAACCGTCACAGTTTTGTGAAGTAACAAAAATCATACGCGCTCATGTTTCCTAATTAATATATTTTAATTGCTGTTAATTTTTTACCTCATCTTCATAATCTCGAGTTATTCACTACTTAATGAGTGTGATCTATGATTTTTATAATTAAACTAGTATTTAAGAATTAATTATTATAATACGGACACCAGCACGTTTCAGCACAATGTTAAAATTTATAGCTGAAGCTAAAAGAATAAGATTGTCAGAGCAGGCAGAATTTAATAAATGAAGCCTACATCGTGTTATTAATTAGCTTGCTTTTTATTGCATATAATGATGAGAACAGTAGACATTTTTATACGAAAAATATTTATTAATAAAGAAATTTAAAAAAAAGGAAAGCTTTTGGATCGGTTAACATTTTTGTTCTATTAGCGTTACATCAGACGCAATATTTTCATTTATCACATTTCTAAACCATTGATCCGATTGTGATGAGACTGGGTTTTTCTGTATAAGCCTGAGAATGTTCCAAATGCAAAAAAGAGAATTGTCCTTTGGTCGTTTGTCTTTTATGCGTTCCTAAATGATTCAAACTCTCTACCATTCAAACTCCCTAGTTTTATCATAAATATTAGATTCAAGCATAATGGTATAATTTATTAACAATTTTTTTACGTAATTTTGTTTTAAAATGCAGCCACTAGTTCCAACATTTAATTCGACTGTGGAGAGACATTTTAAATAGTAAGTAATGCTATATATGTAATCTGTTTGTTAACATATAATAGTAGAGGCAATTTTTAAATGCATTTCCTTGACATTTATATGGATTTTTAAATGTTATTACGAGTAAAATGTTACTTTGTTTAAATCAGTAATCAAATTGTGTACTTATCATCCTTTCAATATAATATTTCTTGTTGAAAAGTTCTTCAATAGTTATTTTATATGGAAAATATTTTTTTTATAACGAGAATCGATCCTGCGACATACATTCATCGCGGTAAAATATACTTGTGGTAAAAAACAACCTCAAAGTGAGGTACATATTAAATACAAATTAAATTAAAAACATTTAATTTAAAGAGAGTAATCATGTGAGAAATTACCAGTGGCTCTTCAAAAAACAGTTCCACACATTTTTAGCTACAAGAACTATTGAACAGAACAATATTCATTTTACTATTGTTTTTTTAAAATGAAAATAAATTATTATGATGTAGAACGGGTTATTGACCGAGATTTTTTCCATGCTATTACGAGTTCTTGATATTTCGGCATTGTTGTAAACGCCATGGTCACGGGCATACTTAGTGTAATACAATATTGGAATATCTCATCTTACATAAAAAAAACAAATTACCAGCTTAAAAAATATGTTAAAAGTACAGCTTTGCTTAAAAAAATGTGTAAATACTAATTGTAACTCACCAAGTATCTCTTCAAGCCAGTAACATGATACGTAGAGGAAAATAGCTACGCCCAGCCAAAATCCAAGCAGAAGTACGGCCAGATATTCCCACATTGTAACTGTCACTTCTGTCCTTTATCACTTGTGTACACACGTCATTATTTATATATTTATTTTTATTATCTGTTTCGAAACCTGTATATCATTTATTTGAATTTTTGTTATAATTACGTGATTTTAGTTGTTTATTTGTTTATTTTCCTTGTATTTGCATATTATTTGCCATAAAAAGATTTTAGTTTTTTTTTAAGATTTCTAGTTTTTATGATTTGTGCTAGGTTTTGTGTGAAGATGATAATACAACAGAATAAAGTAATAACTAATAGTGAAGAACTTGTTTAACATGTCCAATAATAGCGCTTCAAATTAGTTATTATTGACAATGTTGGACAAGTTCTTCGAGCAAATACTTTGTAACGTAATTTTTTACAATTTTTTAAATTTTTTCCTATTTAAATACTATGTCATATATTAAAGCTTTTAAACATTCAACTAAATGAAAATTTCCTACAACGCAGAATTTTCTTAGCTTAAGAAATAAATTTTATCAATTTTTAATTTTTTGCTTTATTTTGTTTGAGCATAAGATTATTATAAAACATCATATAAGCCAGCGCTTTGATTAGTGGGCACCAATATATACAGAGCTATATATACCCTATAGCTGGGATAATAATTACTTTTTAACAATTTAGATCTTCAAAATTACTTAAAAAGTCTAATTCCACTCTCAATAATATTTGAAGTCAGACAAAAGTAGCCTATATTTCATTTCAAAAACTATCTATTTATGTGTATGTAAAAAATCATTCAGCTGTTCTTCTGTTGTCTAGTGAAAGATAAAAAAACCAACGAACACAATTATTGACTTAGTTAACATTTTCCAGTGTGCGAGAGCAGCTTATGTTAATACTTAATTTGGATTCTAATGATAGCATTTGCTCTCGCTTCACCTAACTTCACCATACGGCAATGAAAATTAAATCTAAAAGTAATTTAAAATACCAATAAAGTCCTTTTAGAAATATATAACGAAAGCTTAGAATAAATAAATAGTAAACCTTCTGTTGTAAGGGGAAAAAACCAACAAATTAAAAACTTTTTCCTTTTAACAATATCTCGCAAAACTCTTTATCTCAATCTGGCTTTCCTTAGCATATGGCCGTCATTTTATTTTTTTCTTACTTGCGAGGCACAATAAACATGTATACATTTATAGATAGAATACACTTACACAATAAAAAACACTTAAAACGGTAATAGGGTGTCATAATGCCATTAAAGTGTCACGTTTCCGAGATTTAAAGGTAAAGATCGTTATATTAAAACAATAACATACATTAGAAATGGACTAACACGTGTCAACACATGTTAGTTGTACTTGAATGACAAGTTCCCATAGTTTTCCTTTCCCTCATGGTGATATTAACCTTAAAATGACAAAAACTATATCAAAAATGTCACAACTTGGTAAAAACACCATACAGCTGTTATTTTGCTATGTTTAAGTGTCCTATTCATGCAAATTCATCGTTCTTTTTCGCGGGTCACTTGTGCTGGCTTCCATAAAAAATATTCTAAACTTTTCTAGACGATGCAATATAAGCATCAAAATTAGATAATATTAAGGAATTAAGCCCACAAATAGACAAAAATAGCTTACTTTATATAATTGAGACTAGATATATTTAACAAATATTTACGTATTTGTATGTAGGTTTATTTTTATACGGTCATTAAACCAAACTACTGGCCCCAAGTTGCCTTACGAAGGTCGCGTCAAGCCTGCATACTAATATGGCGTTTAGAGTACTCATGTCCTAGTTTCCATAGTTTCTTGGAAAATATCTGAAGGATATCGTTAACGGATACTTTGCTAATACCGTAATAGTCTATTTTGATATTTTCTTATAGATTATGTACCATATAACTCTTGAATTAAACATTAAAGAACTCGAATACAATAACTTATTCTTTAAAGCTATTTCAATGAGCTTAAACACGATATCTCTGCAGTAGTTTAGTTAAGAATTGAGTATCTTGCTGATTCCAGTGCCGTTGTAGTATCTGTGGAACTTGTTCAAATCCTTTTAACGTAAGAGCTAATAGCCTGCTTACGGCTGAACGATATTCTAGATTTACCAGCTAAGAATACTAGTCGATCAAGTCACTTTTCAAATAAAAAAAAAATTAAATTAAACTCGGTAAATCCGTTTGGGCGCTACGATGCCACAGACAGATACACAGATACACACGTTTATCTCATAACTTCCGTCTTTTCGCGTCGGGTCTCAGGAGTTAAAAATCAAGCCTTTTATGTACATAAATAAAAAAATAATAATATTCCCATTGAGTTTTCCGCCATTTGATTTTGTGAGCTATTATTTCCGAACGATAGAAGACTGTGTAACTTACAGCGATTGGGATTGAGCAATTAAAAGTTTGTGGGCAATATCTAAAAATCTTATATTTATTTATCAGTTTATTAATACTACAATTTACATAAGTTTTTTTTAAATAATTATTTATTTTATCTTCTTTTAACTTCTCTTTTTTATAAATATACTAGCGACTCACCCTCGCTCGGGTTCGTCCCTAGATACTTTTTATCGGTTAGTATATTTTAGTTTATAGGTTTATATATTTATAATATAGATTTCTGAGATTCTCAGAGATGATATATTTTCCTGCAGTGAAAAATATACCATATTGACCCGATAACCAGATACAGTTATCATCATACAAAATTTACTAATATACACATTCGACTCCGTTAGAATTTTATTGTATTTGAAGAAGATTAAATCACATAATTGAATGCATTATGCATGTGTTGTTTGTTATTATTGTTTATAGTTTTCCAAGTTGATTTCCGGAATTCTATCCTTGATTGCTAATCTTTTAAATTAATGAATAATCGTAAAAGTGTATAAAATTAGAAAATATGAATTTGATAAGGTTTTTGAACGGATATTCTTCATAATATCTAGTAATTACAAATATTTCCTGTTAAGGAGTTCTGCTTTAAATTAAAAAAAAAACTCCTAAAGGAACACTTTCTTAGTTTTTGACTATCATTATTATATTATTTAACTTATCTCTTTTTATAAGCTGTCTTATCTTTTGTACAAGTATATATATATATATATATATATATATATATATATATATATATATAACTCTATTATTTCCTATACCCTAAAGGTTGCCTGGAAGAGATGGCTGTTTTAGCGAAAGGCGCCTCTTGTACATTATGTATGTATCTGTTCTGTATTTTTTGTATTGTGTACAATAAAGACTTTATTGTTATTATTATTGTCACAAAATTAGCTTTTACATGTTAGACACGTGTTTACGATCTGAAATTTTCTCTAAATTAGAACGATTCTAATGTTAATTCGATTAGCTTTAAGCATACAAAATAAGCCATTTTAAGTTTAATTTACTACTCGCTGTCATTTCCTTAAAGTTATTTAAACAGTTACAAACAGTAATTCACCGTAAGAAAGGCTTTGTGTCTTTGGTACAGATTTTGCCTTTCACATCAATGAGTTGAACATATGTACGTGGTATGACTTATTATTACATACGGTTTACCTAATCCTCCTTTAATAATAATATACAAGCGACTTCGCTTAGCTAAGGTACATCCTTAAATGCCCGCTTTTATGTGTACCAAATAAATAAATATGTTGGGATATTAACACACAGCACCATCTAGTTTCATGGTAAGCTACGAGGCTTGCGTTATGGATACCAGATAGTTGATACACCACACATATATAATTTTAATATATATATTATTAATATACATAAACACCAATGATTGGAGTACAAACATTCGTGCTCATACACAAATAAATGCCTCCAGCCGGACTCCAAACGTGTCGTCAATTAATAATTAAAACTTTATGTACCAGTATATAAAATATTTAATCTAGTCTACTAGTCTTTCTAAGATTTACGTGAGTATTGGATATTTTAAATTAACCAATATTTTCACACGTTTTCTTGTTTTTTTAACGACGTTTAGAATGTTTTACAGTAAACGTATTTATGGGATAGTTCTTGGTAAACATGGTACTTTCTAAACCATATCAATTCAATCTATAGAGCATCTGAATAGTCAGATCATGTAATTGACAAAGGTTTCGCTAAGGTAGTATATAATAAAAACTTCATACTCGATCGAGTACCTCAAACTTTTTGAAGTCGGTTAAAAAGAGACAGTGTAGTTCACCTGAAATCCCGCAAGGCAAGTAGCGTGAAGCTATAAAAATGTTCAAAAATGAAATGTCACTTTAAAATCAAAAAGTCTGTTACGCTTATGCAAGCAAATTAGAGCAAATGTTTAGAAATTCAGTACAAATCTAAATCAATCACTTTGTTTTATGCATAATTGATAATATTTCCGAATTTTATTCCAGGGTTGTTGGAAGAAATTTCTTAAAGTGATAAGTCATCTCTTGTACATAGGATATCCTAAAATGTTTACGTAGGTATGTGTACTACATAATATATACTGTAATTATATATTTTTGTATATACTATTTTTCTTGTAATACCTACATAAATAAATCTATACATATAATAAAATTTTTTGGAACACATTAAATATTTTTTGGAAAATCTTATTGATATAGACATTATTATCGATACAAAAGCCGAATCTACAGTTTTTAGAATTTTTGTCTGTCTGTCTGTCTGTTACCGCATCACAGAAAAACCTCTGGAGAGATTTTGATGAAATTTAGTATGGTGATGGCTGGTTATCCGGGTCAACATATAGGATACTTTTTACCGCGGGAAAATATCTCATTTCTGAGAAAAAATACAAAAATACAAAAACTGCAGTGTAAGAGTATACTACAAGTAATATGTAAAACCTAAGAATTTGGTTTTTGGTTATCTGAACGCGGGCAATGCTAGTATATTATAAAATTGACTTTTATTTTTAAGGGTTGTGACACAGCCAAAATAAGAAGGCATTCAGAGTGAAATAGAGTTCAAAAGCGTAATTGTCACGTACACAAGTAAGTCTTAAATAATTTATA